AAAAAAAAAGGAATGTCTACAAATCATGAAATGAGGCTCGAATGAAATAGAACAGTGCTCCCCAACCCTCCTATCGTCGCGGACTGGTCAACATTGTGATAATTTTACCGCGGCCCATCCCAATTGATTGTTTATATTTTATATTGTTTTGAGTTAATAATTTTAATTTAATTGTATTTAAGCATTCCTTCAAAATAGAATACAATTACATGTGCGGTATTGGTGCGGCTTTAGGTGACATATCTCAACTCTCGATTATCCTCTCGTTCATGGAAAATAGTACAAACCCGAGAGAAATCCGCCACATTAAATAAAATGAAAATAATTTATTGTTCTTTGGGCACCCCGGTATCATTTGATCGGCGGACCAATGCCGGTTCGTGCCATGGGTGTTGGAGACCACTGAATTAGAAGACTAGCCAAGACGCGCTTTTGCCCTTGCGGTGCTCTCTTGTCAAACGAAAGGAACACCTTCTTGATTTAATTCTCAAAAATCCAATGGTTAGCGAATTTGCCTTGCTCAAGTGACATTAGATACAACAAAAACTACAAGATTGTACCCATTCACGTTCAAAATGTAAATTTTAGTTATTTCAATAAGGAATTGTGTAATTTAGATAGTCAATTTTAAAAAAAAAATATGCTTATAATCATTCATAAAAAATTAGCGTATAATTAAGTCATGCAATGCTATTCCATTCTATCGTAAGGTAATTAAGAATCGTTCTTTTTTAGGACAGTACTTAAATTGCAATAAAAATTTTAACGGAAATTATTGGTTTCAACAAAAATTTAAATTGAATTATTTTATCTTATTAATATCTTTTACATTTTATTAATGACAGAATACATAAAGCAATTAACTCGTTGTAGATAGATTTTACACTACATTTATGCTTATTTTAACTCAACTGATAAAATTGACGTTTTTATACTGCATTAACGTTTGTTTCAGAAATAAGACATGTATTTCTACTACTATTGAAATCAGGTTTGAGTCACGAGTAATAACACGTATTTATGCTAAACACGTATAATATAAATGCTAGCAAATTATTATGGTTTGGCAACACTTTGAAAGATACTGAACTTAAAGCTTTAGAAAATTGCTTATTTTTATAGTTGTGTTTTAGAATTGTCCGATATAAAAAGTAGCGATGAAATTACAAGTAGCACAAAGCATTTTTTATAAATAATAACTAATTGAAAGTTAATAAACTGTTATTATTTGTAAGCAATAACTAAGAACAAAAGAATGGTCAAAACAGCCAGAATATAATAAAATTTACCGTGTCTCTAGCTCTATGAGAACACCAAAATCCTCGGTTATTTTAACTTTTTTTGGTAATGATTTTGCTAAAATTAACAATAAAATATGGAATATAATAAATTTTGTTTAATGTGGTAAAATTTGGCAATTTTTATCACAATACCCATAAAAACCATTTATTCGGTTAAGTTCGCTTTTCAATTTCGTATTTTAAGTTTTAATCAAAAGTTATACTGATTTTGAAAAACCTGTTTTATAAATGGAGGTTTTAGGAGCAATTATTTTAGAGTCAAATTTTTAATTTCTAATTTTCCTTGGTAGTTAAAAGAAAATAAATTAAGACATTTGATAAATCTACTGATCAAAAATAACAGATTTTTCAATTTTTAACTTTAAAGTTTCGCTGCTGGATAAAATATAAAACTACTATGACACTGCTCAATTCTGCTAAACAGAATTTACAAATATTTTGATTTTTTTGTATTAACGTTTCGGGATATATAAAAAAACTTTAAGACTTTATCTGCTATCAAAAGTAAAAGTTTTTTCAGTTTCAGATTTTAAGCTTTTTCTGCTGGATAAGTCCATTGAACATGTGAAGTCCATTTCTGAATCTTACTAGCAAAAGCAACAGATTTTTCTACATTTTTAACATTATAAGTTATGAAAAAGTTTAAGTTACTTTAACATTTTTTGCTGTAAAAATATAGGTGAAAGAGTAACAGACAATAGCAGTAACAGACAACAGAAAATTTTCCGTCATGTTTGTTGATGTTCGGAATCATATTAAAATGAAAATGTAAGGGTTACTATTGCGGAAGACTTTGGGTACACGTTGATAACATGTTAACAACAAATACGAGGTGGTATTTTTCTTTAGAAGGCGAAATAATTGACGTTTCTTGTGGGACTCATGAATATAGTTGTTTATGACCACTTCATATGCCCGGAAGTTGTATAAAAACTGTTATTCGAAGCGCTCCAATGGTTTTTACATCGCTTCTATGTTGATAAATCCATAACATGATCACTCACGGCAATTTTTGAGCTATAAAATGTTTCAAACTATAAATAATTTAAAGTCAGTGGAGATAATAAAAAATAAAGCTGCTAAATTTATTTAAGGCAGCTTTCTACTTATGAAGTAGAAGTTTTAGAAGAGATTGACATACATATTTCATGTTAGAAATGTGTGGAGTTTAGCTTTAGATTTTATAAACACTTACAAAATTAATGTTGCGAAGTGATTTGTCAAATAAAGTAACAAGATACTAAATTTTCAAATGAAAAATTAGATGAAACCCATTATTTATGGAATAGTTTGCTAAAAAATATTATGTTCTCCCCTCACTCATAAGTGATTAAAATAAGACAAATTTAACAATTTTGAAACTAAACCCATCGTTAATAGAGTAGTCAGATCAAATATCTATACTCTTCTCTCTATAAGAACTGAATAAACAAGAGAACTATGTTTTTTTCCTACTTAAAAAAACTTTAACACCTTTTATAGATTAGTTTTCTCAAAAAATAAACAAATTATTTTCTATTTTATTTCTCTTGAAGTTATTTTTTGAATAAAATTAAATACAACTAACTATATTCTTTTCCTACTTAAAATATTTTATATAAAAAAAAACTGTTATGAAACCCGTCGTTTATTATTAATACCCGTCGTAATAAATTAAATACAAACTATATTCTTTTTCTACTTAAAATATTATTAATAAAATAAACTGTAATGAAACGCGTCGTTATAAATTAAATCCAAACTATATTCTTTTCCTACTTGAAATATTTTAAATGAAATAACTGTTATGAAACCCGTCTTTTATTATTAATACCCGTCGTTATAAATTAAATCCAAACTATATTCTTTTCCTATTTGAAATATTTTAAATAAAAAAACTGTTATGAAACCCGTCTTTTATTATTAATACCCGTCGTTATAAATTAAATCCAAACTATATTCTTTTCCTACTTGAAATATTTTAAATGAAAAAACTGTTATGAAAACCCGTCTTTTATTATTAATATCTGTCGTAATAAACCAAATACAAACTATACTCTTGTCCAAATTAATATGTTTTAAATAAAAAAACTGTTATGAAACCCGTCATTTATAGAATAGTTTCTTAAAAAAAATTATGTTTATTCCTCCCTTAAAAACATTTTCTGAACAAAATACGACAGCTATGCTCTCTTCTTACTTAAAATTTTTTAAAAAACGGTGTTATAAAACCGTTTATTTTCTTCACTTGAAAGAATTTTTTGAATTAAATTAAACGCATGTTCGTTTCCTATTGGAATCATTGCCATTAAAATTCCGTTATGAAACCCGTCATTTATTGAGTAGTATGAAGAATAACTATGCCCTTATCTCACTCGAAAGTATTTTTTTTTGAATAATAATTAAATTTTGAATAATAATTCACATTTAATTCTGTTTCTTCCCATAAGCCTCTATACAAGAGAAAATAGTTAAATGTTTCATATTTTATTCAAAAAATACTTTTGAGTTTAGTACAATACATTACTATTCAGTTTAATACTAAGTTTTTTTTTTGATTAATGGCGGGCACTTGGGTCTATTTCCCATTGGCCTCAGAAATGCCAGAATTGCTACTCTCTTATCGTTACCCCATAGGCACCTATGGCTAAACCACGGAGGTGGAGCTGCGTCGCCCGCGTCATACAACCACAAACCCGTTTATAGGGCGGGTTACATTCACACAGAAGAAAGGACATAGAACACAGAGAGAGAGAAAGAAACATCCATGTCCTGAGCGGAATTCGAACCCGCAACCATCGGCTGCGCAGTCAGTCACGCTAACCACTCGGCCACCTGGTCGGCGTTTAATGCTAAGTAATTTGCAAAAAAAAAATTTTTTTTAATTTTTTGCCTTTAGGTGCATTTGTGTTTCAACAATACCTTTTTATGATACAGATTGTGAAAGTTTTTTGCAAATTATCTGTAAGTGATTGTAGTTCTATGCAGTACTCTTGAAGTTGTAAATGAAAATTATTCTTTTTATTTGCATGTGTTACTTCATACTGTATTATTCATTTTATGTATATCTGTAATTATTTAGTTAAAATACAGTAAATGTAATTAAAATACAGTAGAATATTGGGAAAATGTTTGTCGTAAAGTTATACATATCTATCGAAGAATAAATTAGAAAAACTCAATAAAAATGTATTTTAAAGAATTTAATATAACAATGTCTAAAAGTGAGATTTTTTCTAATCTTAGATCTCTTTAAATTTGTTCTGAAAACCTTTAAAATTTTTTAAAATTGAACTCGTTTAATTAAACATTGAACAAACATCAAAATATGATGTATGAGCTTCATTAACACAAGTTAAAATTGAATAAACAATATTTTTTTGACAAATTTAGTTTTCTAACAGACGGCTTCACTTTAAATGATGTTCTCATTCATTAAATCAATTACAAAAAATGTATCCAATTGAATTATAACTAATTTTTAATTAAATTTATATTAATTATGCTTTAAAGCTGTAATTTTTCTCATATTAGACTACTTTTAGATTCCTTGATAAATAAATTATTACAAACTCCTTGATAAATAAACTATAAATAATTAAACTTCAAACATGTTTATTTAAACATTAAGCAGATATTAATGTATTTTGAATTAGCTTAAAAAAATCGAAAAGTACAAAAATAAATAGATTTTAGGAAAGATTTAAGAGATTGACTTACCATATACGAAATACTGAATGTGACTATCGTCCAATAACAATCGAGATTCATTTCTTAAATCTGTAAAGATAAAAGTAATTATTTAAAAACATTGCTATAAATCTAAATTTATAAATAAATTGTATTATTAAAAGAAACAATCGATACATGCATTTTTTACCAAGCTATTATATATATTTTTTTTATTTTCCTCATATTTTAAGTGAATGAAATTACAAGATCTTGCCTTGGGGTGCTATTTTGGAATGAGGTAATAAACATAATAAGTAAGGACAAAAATAAGGCCATTTACTATCTATGTAGCTGCGATTATTTTGATAGAAAAAGTAATTTATTAAAGAATTCAATTATTAGGTTGAACTTCATCAGTAAATCATAAAGTTAAAAGTGTGGAACTATTCCTGCATGATACGGCATTGATAAGAAATGTTGAAACAATGCACTAATACTATCATGAGAACTGAATTTCAATGCAATTTAGATAATTTTCTTTTTAAGTTTAGAAAGAATGATTAAATCCAAAAAGTAATTATTTAATCAATTTATTCAAAGTGAAGTAAATGTTTCACACAGTTTAATCCTTTTTTAAATTACTGAAGCTATTCATATATCGTGAAACATCGATAAACAGTGGTCATCGATAATCACGAATTATTAACTAGAACCATAATAAGCAAATACGAAGCTATCATTAGTTTTGGTAAATTGTTTCAGGTAACTAAAAGTTTAGCAGTATAAAAATAATGTAAATTAGATATTAAAAAAAATATTTCAATGTGTTGTAAGATATTGATACTTTCTGACAGTATTTCGTAAAATATCGATATTTTTAATTATATATCCAGTAATATTGATATTTTCAGTATGGGTGATCTATCGTGATATTAAGCACTGCGCACTGAGAAAAAAAGTATGGTATAAGCTACCAGAATATGGTAAAATTTACCATGTTTATGGCTCTTTGGAAACATCGAAAAGCTTGGCAGTTTTTACGAAAGTGCTTAGGTAATGATTTTGGTAAAACTAACAATCAAATATAGTTCCATAATAAGTGATAAAATTCGGTAATTTCATCGTGATACCTAGTTAGCTTTATGGGAACACTAAAAAGCTCGGTAATTTTAACTGAAGCGTTTTGGTGATGATTTTGGTATAAAATTAACAATAAATTATGGTTTTATAAAAAGAGATAAAATTTGGTAAATGTTTAAAAAACAGGGAATTTTATCATGATTACTTAAAGCATGGCATATATGATTCAGTTATATTTACTTTTCCTTTTTGTATTTTTTAATTAAATAAGAGATAATAAGAATTATAAATTGAAAAAAATCAGAATTCCCGATAAACAGCTACCAATCAAACGAAAAAATTACCAAATTAATGAAATTACCAAATGGTAAATTACCAAAATATACGGTTTAAATATTTTGGTTTTAATAACCAGAATTAAAATTTTTTACCAAAAATATTATTACCATATAGTACGGAAATTTTTTCAGAATTTCTTTCTCGGTGCACTAAATGGTTTAACGCTTTAGTTATTTATTTTTTGAAATTTATACACCCCAAAAATAAATTCATCGCAAATGCAAAGCCAATCGATATTTTATAAATGAAAAAAACCTTAAAATAACAAAGACAACGTAGTATTTCATTCGAATTAAATTTCTTTTTTCAATGATTTCTTTAAAACCTTGCACGAGATCGTACCTGATAACATACATGTTGCATGAACGATAAAAATAAATAAGTTTAGGTTGTTGAACGGTAAAGTAGTCTATGGATTTTATCTAGCGCAACAAGTTCAATAAAACAAATTATTACTACTAACTAAACACTTAAATTTTTTGGAAATATATTTTCTCTTGTAGTTTACGGTTTATTGACTGCGTAAAATTTGAAAATACCGTGTAAAACAGTTCCTGCTAGACAATATTTAAGTGTGCTGCTGCAATAAGTAAAGATTCGCAATGCTTCAAATAATTACATAAATTCAGTAAACAGCATATTCTCAGAATTCGTATGATAATTTACTGTCTTGATTAAGATATTTGTTATATTATGAATCTCAATCTATCATTTTTTATTTTGACCTTTCCTAACTTGATTTACGATAACAGTGACAAGTTTTTAAAAATTACACTGTTTTGAAATCATTAAAATTGTTGTAATAATAAAGAAAAAAATTCAATTCATTTTACACTAAAGTTTGGAGGTAAATAATGCATGAATAGCTTCAATTTATGCTTTAATTAAATTATTACGCGTTTATTAAATTATTACGATTTAATAAAAAATTGCATACTATTCAAAATTTTTTTGAATATTAATAAAAAATAAAAAAATATTTACTTAAAGCTATTTTTTGCATCTTTGGCTAAACGAATATTATAATTGTGTGCAAAAATGTTTCAATTAACTTAAATATTTCTCGAAATATGGCGAAATGCTCAAAAAGTAAAATTTACATTATAATAAATTTCATTTTAATTAAGGCACTATTTTTTTTTCATGTTAGTTTTCTGTTACACTAAGTTGTTAATATTTTATTGCATGATATATTTATAATAATAAGTAAACTTAAAAAAGATAAGTTAAAAAAAAGTAAAAAAGAAAGCACAAGATTTATCTTAAAACTAATCTGAATGCTAAAGCGAAAATTATCTTAAAACGATCCAGAAACCCATTATGACTACCTTTGATAAAAATATTATTGCATGAACTACAGTGTGCCCAAGAAATTTTTAAAAAAAAATGTCATAAAGGATTTGTAGGAGTCAAAAAATGCGAAACGCTTTAACCTAACTTTCTCAAAGATTAAAAATGTTAATGTAACTGTGGACGTGAACTTTTAAAATAAGTTTAAACAAACCCATCATTAAGTGCTAACTAGTTTTTAACAAACATCATAGTTGTAAACTATATTGGTATAAAAAATAAATTATAACACGTTTTCAGTTGACAAAATATAATTCAATAATTTAATTTTATTACTTTCTCCTCCATATCTCTTATCAAAATTCAGAAAAGAATTAAACGTGACTTGAGAATGTGGCTTGCGTGTGTGTGGTTCAACTGTTGTTTATGAATAGTAAGAGGAATAATTCATTTCGACATTCATGCATAAATAGAAACGTGCAATTAGTATTCTTAGTCTTCTTTTCATGTCAATTCTACCACCCACCGTCTAATCAATGTCTGATCCTTTAGTTAAAAATAGAATATAATAAGATGGAGAGCTAGAAAATGAACACTCGCTATTCAATTGCTATGAAATTTTCGTGAATTATTTTAAACGTCGAAGTAGTATTTTGGTGAAGTTTTTTTTAATGATTTTTCCTGCCAAGCAAGTTCTGCCCTCTTAAAAAATTAAAGATTAGATACTATTTTAATTCTATAAAATTCAAGAAAACCCTTCATTTTTTCTGTTAGATATAATTCGAATTAATTCTAAGCCTTGTCCGGAATAACTTTTGATATAACTAGAAGAATTTGGCGCATTGGTTAAAGAATGCGCTGAAAATAGGTAGGGAAATTAGCGTTAATTGTTTACTAGGTAGTGAAATCCGAGACCAAGACGTGCCTTCTCTGAATAAATTATATTTCAACTTGACCTTTGTACTTAAGTCAGAAAAAGGTTCAAAGTTTGGGCTCCTATTCTTTCTTTTGCCTTTTTGCCCCCTCCTAATTCTAGAATTAATTATAGTACAATATTTTTGGGTGGAACTATAAAGCTCAACTATACAAATATTTAATGTACATAGTAATTTTGAATAAATATTTTTGATACATTATCTAATGTAATAATAAGTAATTTTTCTTATTTAAAATGTTACAAAACAAACTACATAGTTTAAATGCCTAATTCTAAATTTGCTATAATTTGACCAAACAAGGAGGAATCTGCAATTTTATAATATGGTCTATTTAAAGAAAAAAAAAAGATTTTTTAACATTAAAATAAATTTTATTCCACGACTGACATTAAATTCGAATTTATTCATGCTATGTTTATCGTTTAATTAAGGTATATTTTATTTAAAAATTCTATTATATAGAACAAGAAAAAATAAGAAATATTATTTTTTTGCCATTGTTATGTTAATTATAAAAAAATATACATTAATTATAAAATTTTCAATTTATTTAGAAATTATGTAACTTTTACTATAAATAGTGTTATTTAATACCAAAGTTCAGTTAAATAAAAAATATGTAAATTATAAAATGATATGTTCATTATAATTATTTGCTAATTACAATTCATGTTCTCCGATAAGCAGTTTTAAAAGTGAGTGTGCTTGTTATAAAAATGATATTTTGTTTTATTGTTTGCAATTAACAAATTAATTAAAGAAAATATTTAATTTTTTTACGAAATTGTTTTCCATCAAGTCAATATTTAGGGATGAACTTTTTTAAATATTCCTGTTGGGAATATTGAAAATATTTTTGTTTGTTTTATGGAGGGTTCAAACACCTTGCTGGAAATTCTGGAGAAACAAAAACTTCACAACTTTGTTCAACTATATTATTTCGCTCAAATTTAAAGATTTTTATTCGCGTTCTAGCTGTAAATAAGTCATTTGTTAGTTTAAAATTTTTATTTTAAATTGTCATGAAAATAAGATATTTAAAAAAAAAACGCGTGAACATATTGTTTTCTTGTAATCAGACGCCATAAAATGTGTTAAAGTAATTCTTTGTTTACTTTTCTCCTATGGAATTTCATTTCCTGGATTTCACAAACTGCTGGAATAAATCATATAGATATGATGAGAAAGATTGATTTACAAGTGTTTCACCCTCGGGTAAAATGCAGAGAAGGGGGGGTGCAGTTAACGAAAAAATTACTACGATGCTTTCTCAACACACCCCCTTCTTCATTCTAACACTCTGCTGAGCTAATTTTCTTTACTGATGGTTTCGGTTCATTGTGCAGACCGAGTTTAGTTGTTCGAGTGACCTCTGGGAGCGAACAAGGAACCGCCAGTGATGTAATAACAACAATAAAAATGTTCATAATCTTCTGTAGGATTGAGCTTTTATGTTGATGA